AGAGAGAGAGAGAGAGAGAGAGAGAGAGATGCTTTTAAAAAATACCTTCAACCGGAATCTAATTATAAAGTTTAGTTTATGTGTGCTAGCGATGAATGAATTAAGCAAAATATAAGTTATATTCGCCTCATTATAAAGTGTCGACGAGATATGAATTATAATTAATAAAAACAATATATAAAACAAACACACTGCCATAGTAATCATTCTCATTATAAATGGTGCATGGGCAAATATTGATACGTATAATAGTAAACTTATAATTGCGCTAATTGTTAACCATTGGCCGCACAAATACTTTGACCAATAATTTTTGTTGTAAGTATCAATTTCAACATATACTAGATTGAGCATGGTGAAAATACTTGGATAACTAGCTTTATTAACTCTAATACATTCATTAATCGCACGGATCTTAGCGGTTAAATAATAGGTAATAATAATATAGTAAACGGTTTGATAGATAACACGAGTAATGCTAAGTCTACTTTTTTGTGTCCTTTTTAACCACAATACAGTATGAATAATGTGGTTTATAAGATTGTTCGCCTATCCCGTCCCCCCAGCCCCCATAGGGTGTGGGGGGTCGGGGGAGGCGGGCAGAACAATCCTATAAACCACATTATTCCTATCAAAATAGTGGTTAAAAATAATTTAATATTTTGAAAACAAAGTCAATTAAAACAATAAATATTTTTGTGTCGTTAAATTGTGTATTAAAATTATGTAATTAATTAATTATTATACAAAGGTTATAAATCTAGTTGTATTTTATTAATCAGATTATTGCGTTTTGTGCTGTAATATATTTACGCTTAATAGAGTGATAATATTGTCACCAGGTTAACTCACATTTTACCCTTTTACCAAGCAATTATTAGTGTTCTATTACCCTATCTAGATAAATTGGCTTTATTATTAAGACTGTATTAAATATACAGTAATATATAACTAAACAAGGATCACACGCGATGCTATGCGTTAACCACAATTCGGGAAATGCATCAAAAATTTAAAATTTTTCAATGCTTTTGTTAGAATACTTTTATTATTATTATTTTGAAAATTTAAAATGTTTTTGACAACAATTAATTTAGAGACCATCCCTTAGACTTATCATTGCCATAGACTTAGCATTACCCATGTTAATCCTATGCGATAGACTTTTTGCATAATTTACCAAAACTTCAATATTTGGACATAAATTGCATTCATTTAACCGACAATTTGTTGAACACATTATCAGAAATGGCAAACATTGAGACCATTAAACTGAAAGGCAATCAACGATACGCTAAGCAAACACTTAATAAACTGCTGAAGAATTACCGCAAACGGAGACTCATATCGATTGAAGGCCTGAGTCGGCACGTGTGGCTCAAAGCGGGTGAAAATCCCAACAATTTTGTCAGTAAACCCACTATTTATTAAATGTTTATTCATTACTTAATATCGACTGTATTTAGAAACCAAACCATTATATTATCATTTGTTTTTTGAACACATTGTGTGGCTATTTTGTTGGGAAATAATTATAATCATTATAATCATTACCAAATTAATGATTATATTTATTCTCAACCCATTATCTATTTATAATTATCATTTAACACACATTTAATTGTTTCTAAATTTGCAATTTAACTTTTCCTTAACATTACTTTTGAAACATTACATATTTTTACGAAACCAAACCATTATTTTTTTGTATTTTTGAATTCAATAACTTCTTAATTCAATAAATATTTTGAGCATTAATTCAAGTGTTAATTAAATTAACAAAATAACTGAAATTATCAACGAGTTTGAAAACAATGCTATACTGTATTAAAAATACAGTATATATTACACATGAAAGCATGTATTTGCCAGTCATTTACCGGCGGACAAGTAGTGGACACGTATTGTCTGCCATACCGTGCCATCAAATAGTTGACCAAAACTCTTGAGCATAACCTCCGGTCCCGACAAATGAGTTTCGCATAACAAGTGTCGCCAATAGAGAGAGTGCTGATAGAGGGGGAGGGAGTCTTGCGGTCACGTGACTGTTGTTTACAAGTTTTTGATAGCGTTTTGAAAATAGCGACAAAAATATTGCATTTAATTTTGCAATTGATTTATAAATTGTATTACAATTTGTAAACATTTAATTAATTTTAATGTTTTAATTATTAGTTGATTCACTGATTTGTTGGTTATGTAAGTAATGGCTGTTTCTGTTGTGAATTTAATTATTATTTTTGTAATAATTTTTATAAAAGTCATGTTTAGTTGAGTTTTAATTAAGTTTTAATTAATTATAATTTTAATCAATATTTTGTGTATCAATTGATGCCTTACTTCACGTGATATCCATATAATGTATGCCATAATTAAATGTCAGTCAAACTAATGCCACTAAAACTTATGACCACTTCTTTAGAGCGGATCCAATGGACGATCGGTCGGCGATATATCCCATCAACTCTTGGGACCGATTCGGTGATGATTTGTGTCAACACTTATTGTCGTATCTGCCGCTCGACGACCGGTTCCGCTACGAAGTGGTGTCCAAACAGTGGCAAAGAGTGGTATACGAGACACAACGGGAACTCATATTAGACCACGATTTCGGATATCGTCTCAATTACTCGTCACTGGAATCGCTGCTCAAGAAGTGTCGGAATATCACAA